CGGAATTGCGTTCAGCCCCCTGGCCATGTCCCGATGAAAAACAATCATCACTCCACCACGACATCCCTGCCAGGCTCGGTGAATAATCTTCACTCATGCCGAACACACGGCGATTTGTTCAGACCGGGAATGAGGAACATGTCGCCCTCACAAACCAAAGCAGCTGATGGCATCCATCACATCACTTCCACCCAGCCATTCACCAACCATCCCAACACCCGCTGCCACCACCACCTTCACCGTCAACAAACCAAACCAGCCTCGCTCGAGCCATCACCGTGAGTCGACAGCTTTGACATGCGGCCAGGGGAAGATGAGATTTAAACTCGACGACGCGCCGTGATACCTCCAGACTGAGTTCGTCAAGGTCGGCAGTCTCGAGCTGTTACTGTGAAGCCATGACTGGAATAGAAGCAAGATCAAAATAATGCCCAAGCCAAGAGGCTCCGATGCCACGTGATGCTGGCAAAATGTCCCATGGCATGCAGGGCAGGATGGGGGGAGGACCGATTCTATGGTCACAATTGCACGCTTTGCTGGATAGAAGTCGCCTTTAAAGTAGACTATTACCATCAAATGTTAATTTTCAACAGATTTTTTTTTGCCAATAAATACCATGCCAATTTTTCTAAAACAATGAAGGTGATGTGTTTGGGCTGTGTTTGTCTATTCTATTTAGAATTTATAGAGCGCAATTGTCAAATTGTGAATCTTTGTCTAGTATGTCTCCAGAGCTAAATATAAACCCTAAATTGTTTTTGTGCAATTCACAATGTAATTGTAATTTTAAATGACAATGCCGCTGTATTTGCAATTTAAATTTAATCGCTGGCGTGACACAATTATGAAGATGGTCCGAAACAAGTGCTGTTTATATTCCACATTCTGATACAGCAATCAGTCTTTAAATAACCACTAAAACAATTAAGAGACCCATTGCCAGTGGTACGTGCGCATAAACAAAAACAACCTTGGCAACTTAATAATTAACACTGCCTTGTGAAAACAAGCAAATTGGATGTTTTTCCCCCTTATTTATAAACCAGTGTTAACACCAAACTGTGCCAGTTACTTGGTTTATGCACATTACAATTACAGTACTGTTTACTTACCACAGAATAGTGCTCATTTATTGGCCATGGTGAGATGATGATTACGATGTACTGATTGTAAGCAATGTACTGATGATGACCCCTCATGTCGAGCGTAGTGCGTGCGGGGGTTATGATAAAACGCACTTGGCACAACATTTTACAACCATTGCATCTCCAGAAGACTCCATACGAATACATTATTTGGTGACAGTGCGTTTTGGAAACAATTGTGCTCGTGTGTTGCACAAGCACAATTAACAAAAAAATCCCTCAAAACGTTCGTTCATAACACCGCTTTAAAGTGCTCTGAAGAAGGGCCCATTGCCCAAAATGTATACCTGTCAACCCGTTATCAGTGCCTACTTCATACAGACCAATTCAGACCTTATTGGTCACCGTGTGCCCTTATAAATCTCAACGTTCATCCTACAAAGTCCCATGACAAGGAAGAAACACAAACAAATCGATTTAAAAAATGTCGTTCCCCGTATTCAACCTGAACTCTCAATGTCGCTGTACATGAATACGGATAAACCGTGTGGGGGTTAACAGGTATGAAAACGTCCCCATATGTTTTCCCTTTTAAGTCCAGTGTCACTGACGAATGTTGAGTTTTAACATTATATATGAAAAGAACGTTAAACCTAGACACATTCCATACGATGTGCACCATAAATTTACACTTTTGATTGCGGTGCGATGTTCATATGAGCTGCTTTGTTCCAGTTCTAAATGCCGTAAGTATATTACAATGTTTAAAATGTTTAAGTTTACGATGCAAATATAAGTGTGTGTGTGTACTTGTCATGACGTATTTATTGTGTATTGGGGGAGCGGTAGTGTAGCGGTTAGCGCGCTACGCTACGAAACCGGCCATACGAGTTCGATTCCTGCTCATGGGCCAACACCAGTGACGATTATCTGAACCAGGCCTGGGCGTCCACTGGGTCGACTCAGCCTCAAATGAGTACCTGGTTCATTTGTGTAAAACATCGGCACTCGGTAAACAAAGGCGGCCGGGCGTGGAGCTGGCCACCAACCCCCTCGTGTGCCGTGCTGACCTTCATAGATGCTCGCGAACAGCGCGTGGTATGTATGTGTTACTTGAAACCCCTGGACACCCTTGCATTATGATGTTCCATCTCAAGGGTTTCATCCATGTAAAACATTTAAATAAAAACATAAAACACCACCGTACTTCACCACACCAGTCAATGCGGGTTCATGAAAGTGGGAGAGCATAGCACAAGGTGAGTTTATGATCATGTGGATTGGTCCTCCCATCGTGCATTACATCTCATCATCACACTGTGTGTGAAATGCACACGGCCTTGTTTCCGACAGTCACATGTGGATGAATTATTTTAGGGAGCAGTAGGATAATGAGACAAATGTGTATAGTGTGCAATCATTTTTAGTTTTATAACGTGTAGTTTGTGCAAACTGCATCTCACAATCACCGAGGAACCACAGACAAGCTGGAAGGCAGCAGCTTGGCAGTGAGGCGATGTCAACAATTGACCAAGCTCTGCAGTTCTCAATATTGTGTGATCATACTTGTTATGAGTAATCAGCATAGAATAGACATACTGTAATTTCGTTCTGCTGCCTTGTGCCTCATGGGCTTTTAAGTGGAGCAGCAAGCAGGCTCGCAACATTATCCGAGAAAATTCTAGATTTGAAGCTTTCGTCACTGCAAGGATTCATACTCTTTGGTGTTTTCGGTAAAGTCAAGTAGGTAAAATAAAATAAAACTAAATTAAATCACGTCCTTTTATTTTATATTACCTACGTGACTTTATCCGAGTAAAAACAACACGTGGTAATTGAGCATTCGAGACGGCAAATGTGATATTGTGACCGTAGGCTCAACCCTACCAGGGTGCGCCTTCCTTGCACATCACATGGCAGTGCAATGCTAGGCGTGTAAAGTTCATACAGCTTTAAACCACCAACAAATCATGGATTATAATGGATATTGGGATGGTCGATGATGATGTTGAGTGATGATGCAGACATCTTATGAGCAACTAAAAACGAATAAGAATGCAAAGAAATGTGTCAATAACACTGTGGTCTTATAATAGTTGACGTTTTGGGCGGTGGCCTTTCCTCACAACACATAGTCCTGAAAGGTAAAGTGGCCTATGCATATTCTATGGTTCTTTCGGTAGTCACGTAGATAGAAAAAATAATAACAATCAAATATATTATTGGTTCTTTCGGTAAAGTCACGTAGAAGGGAAACAATAAAATAACAATTGCGCTCAAACACAGAGACAATTTCAACCGAGAAGATGGATTCTGGCTTAGCAATCATTGGAAGGATTTGATAAACCATTTCGGGTCTTAATTTATTGTTTACACTTACGGTGGCTTTCAGACCGCATCCATTATTTTCGTCTCCCCCTCCTCTTTTCCGAACATAGATGGACTCGTCCATCTGAATAAACTATCAAATCGCTCTCCGTGGTGCTAACGTTAAAAATAACCGCCACTTTTTTCAAATTCTCTTGCTGTGGTTTTCACATCTGATGATGATTGCTTGTGTTGCAGTCGAAACGTCGTGAGAATTTTATTGTTTTATATTTTTATTATTTTGTTTCCCTTCTACGTGACTTTACCGAAAGAACCAAGAATATGAATCCCTGCAGTCACGACAGCTTTAAATCAAAACAAATAATAAAAATAAAGTGAATAAAACATAATACAAATATCACGACGTTTCGATCGCAACACAAGGGGCCGTCATCAGGAACAGGGAGTGGCCTCTGCATGTACTTTGTTGTGAAGGGCCATTGCCTGAAACGTCACATATAGTTGTTTTAGGCCACACACAGTGATATTGACAATTGCACTCAGTTTTGTTGTTGTTTGTGCACCACTGCCAACGCAGTATCAGCGAATAATATTTCATATTTTATGGGTTCAGATGTGAATGGGGTAATGAGGGGTTTTAATGTGAATGTAATAATAAACTGCTGATGTTAATTCGGTTAATGATGTTGTGTTTTACAATTTGTTGGTGTTTTACGAGGATTTTTATGATGTATTTGATGATTGTGATGAAATAACTTCTTGATTTGTTGATTATGAAGTTGATGATGTGCTGATGAAAACGTGACGATGTATTTATTATTTTATTGAGAAGGAATGATGCTAAAGATGATTATTGTAATGCTGGTTTACCCCAGAAAGTCTCACCGAATAGCATGACTTTTTTTTTTAAAAGAGGATCCTACCAAGTTTTTGCAGTTGGGACAACGGTAGCTACGCATATTCCACGTTGCCACACAACGGTCTACTCTTGCGAACGATTTCACACGGGATCTTCAACGTCCACTGTGGTTAATGCACACCGCAATATTAATCAGGGCGGCCGCAGCATCGGAACCGTAAACCTAGGCAAAAAAAACAGCAGCGAACTCGCTACTACGCCAATGCCCCATGATGGTGTTTGGCCTCGCCTCCCGTTTACTCTATGCTATTTGATACTGCTGATGAAGATGTTGTGCTAATGACAACAACAATGCTCCTGCTGCTGCTGATGGTGGTGGCGGCGATATTAGGAACCCATCTGCTCACTCTGCGTTGATAATGCGATGATGATGATGCTTATGAAAATAATGTTGATGTGCTAATGATGCGGCTGTGATAACGGTTAGGCCTGGTCTTACAAAGGAATCCCCCCCTCTGCTTACACTGTGCTGATGATGAAGATAGTGTTGATGTGCTGATGTTGGTGATACTGATGCTGTGATGGCGGTGTTAGGCCCGGCCTCACAAAGGAACCCCCCCCCCCCCCACCTCTGCTTGCACAGTGCTGACGATGAAGATCGTGTTGATGTGCCGATGCTGTTGATGATGCGACGGCAATAGGCCTGGCATCACAACCCCATCTCTTACCTACGATGTGCCGATGATTTTAATAATGTTGCGGTGAAGACAATGTCGATGATGCCCCGTTGTTGATGCCGCTGCTGCTCCTGATGGATGTTAGACTGTGTCCTCACAAAGGAACGCCTCTGCTTAACACTGTGGTTGATGATGTTGCTGATAATGATGATGATTTGGCGACGCTGCTGCTGGTGATGTTGGGTCTGGCCTCACAAAGGGACCCTTGGTGCTTACGTTGCTCTCCAGTCGAGGCGGCCTGCCCCGTGAGGCTTGTACCGTTACCGGTCGCACGGCGGCAACAGCAGAAGCAACGGCGACGGCATTCGCGTGACAGGATGACTTTTAAAAACAAACTGTAATATAAAAAAAAACCCGAATCAAAATTAGCGCCGAGTCACTAAGACTATTTACCCCGTGGCCACCGGGTTCCTGACATGCCCCTGACGTCATATGAAAGCCGTGCCCCCGTGACGTCATGTCGAGGATACGCCCCCGCGGCAACGCGGTGTCACCGCGAGGACGCCTGTGCGATGACGTCATCGCTCGCGGTTCATGGGACAGGGACGACGAGTAAAGGGGCCGTCCATAAATGACGTCACGCGATTTTGGATGATTTTTGACCCCCCCCTCGTCACACGGCGTCACAAAAAGTCAGACCCCCCCTCAAATATGACGTCACAAAGCTCTGCCCCCCCCCCCCAAACCATATTTCCATTTTAAAAATAAAACATGCTTCAAATCGCTTTAAACTATTGTCATTGTAGTGCGTTTTTAATGTGGCGCTGCACTCTGATTTTCTAGGAGAAACATTTATTAAAAACTCACTTATTAAAAAGGCTATTTAATTAAGTAGAACGTGTTGTCTATATTTATTAAAAGTTGTGCATTTATATGTGACGTCACATTTCTCATCCCTCCCCCCTCGTCACACGTCGTCACAAATGTCTGCCCCCCCCCCTCTCCCAGGTGCGTGACGTCATTTATGGACGGCCCCAAAGGCGCAGCCCTGCAATTTCTTGCTTTTATCCACCGCTGGAGAAATCCCTTTCCTCTCTAGAGGGAGCTCTAAAGAAACCCCACCCCTTCAGAGACTTTGGATATAAACTCTAAACACTCGTAAACAACACTGGCCCTAAAAGCTACAAATTTACAATCGGCAACGTTTTTGGGCAACACTCCTTTATAGCACATCCAAGGGCCATTGCTCAAAACGTCGCCGATTACATGAAATGTTTTATTTTAAGGTGACAGTGTTGTTGAGGAGTGTGTTGAATTGTGTTGTTATCTGTGCTTTGGCACCACTGCCAAAAGTAGCAGCAGCAGAAGCACCACATCATGTGTTCATGTGTATGTGTGTTGAACTTCTTTCGCGCCGTACGTAGCCAACCGCGTATATGGTACTCTTGCTACATGGTACTCTTTATAGTACTGTTCGTTCGTCAAAGATACAGGCAACATGTATTGCTTGGCACTATGGGACTCCCTTGAACAGGAGACACTATCGTTGACCTGGTCACAGGGTATCAAGTGCAGTATCAAGCGCAGTGTTATAAGGCATTCCGGAAAGTAAGACGCACTCCACATCCCCCCCCCCCCCCGGTTTCAATACAGTTCTAATAGACCCTGGTCTCACAAAGACAAAGACAAAGATCCCCCGTATAGCCTTAACAGACTGTAGGGGCAAGTGCTGTTAGCGAGCACCACGCTAACAGCACACACAAGATGTGGTCTCACACACACAGACACATCAACCGGATTATAAGAAGCACACTCAGCATCTTTATTTAAAATGTAGAATGGGTGGGTTATGGGTGCGTTTTATAATCCGGAGAATTCGGCAATGATAACAACAATGGTTATCAAATTATTCGAAATTCGCCCAATCTCGTAAGGCCGTAAGCTAACCAGGTATGATTGCGCCTGCATCGCACTTGGATGGGTGACTTCCATGCATAATAGGTGTTATAGGCTGCTCCGGGGTTATGCTAGGTTAATATTAATTAACTTATCCACGAAAGCCACGCTTGGTCGTAGGATCATATTTCAGAAGGGTTTTACGCTGTTTTTATTTTGTTTATGTTTTTGGCCAATTAAAAAAATGAACTCCACCGAAAAAAAAAGACTGAATCCATTCGTCAATAACACTGCGTACTGGACTTTAAAAGGAAAAATATGCAATACTCGACGTTTCGGGCACATGCGTTGGCGAGCTGCAAGAGGTAGGCGGGGCTAAATGTGACGGGCTAGGCCCCGCCCACAAACAAAGATCCCCTGTAAAGTTGAATACATTTTGAATAAACTGCTGTGGAAAGTGCCGTGAGCGAGCACCGATGAAGGCCTGTCCGCCTTCATCGAATGCTCGACCGAGAGTCGGCCCAGGACCAGTTCAGATAATCCTCATCGGCGTTGACCGTGAGTGGGAATCGAACTCGTGGGCGATCGGCGTTCCCGACTCACCACGCTCACCCACAAGCCGACGTCACCGCGAGGGAGGGCGTCGCCTCCGTCGCCCCGCCCCCCTCTTGTGTGACGTCAGCCGCTATAAAGGCGCCGCCGCCCCCCCCAGCGCGCCGTGCGCTGTCAACACGGCCGGTGATGTCGGCGGGGCGAGGGGAGCGAGGCTCCTCCGAGCGAGGCTCCTCCGAGCGGGGCTCCTCCGAGCGAGGCTCCTCCGAGCGGGGCTCCTCCGAGTGGGGCTCCTCCGAGCGAGGCTCCTCCGAGCGGGGCTCCTCCGAGCGGGGCTCCTCCGAGCGAGGCTCCTCCGAGCGAGGCTCCTCCGAGCGGGGCTCCTCCGAGCGGAGCAAGAAAGGTGAGAGACTGCGGCGGGGCAACCTCACACGGACACCGCTCGCCCCAGCAACACGTTGCCTTGTCCGCCTGTCTGTGCGTGAAGGGCGCACACCTCGTGCGTGTGTGTGTTTGTGTTGGTGAGTGAATCAGTGGGGTCCGTCTGTCCCCCCCACGTGTGGGTTCGTGCTGTCCCGTCTGGGGGTCGCAAGTGTCAACGTGTGTGACACGTGTGTGTGTGTGGTAGTGTCCTTTGGTGCGCGTGTGTGTGTGGTGATGTGTGTGATGATGGGGGTGTGTGTGTGTGTGTGTGATGATGGGTGTGATGATGGGTGTGTGTGTGTGATGATGGGTGTGATGATGGCTGTGTGTGTGTGATGATGGGTGTGTGTTGTTGATGTGTCTTTGTATTGCTGTGTCGATGTGCGTGTTAATGTGTGTTGACGTGTATGTGTGTTGATGTCCGTGAATGTATTGTCTTTGTTTATGTCTTTATTGATTGATGTGTATGCGTGTTAATGTCTTTGCCGTGTGTGTTGTGTTTGTGTTGATGCTACTGTGTTTGGGGGAGCGGTGGTGCAGTAGTTAGCGCATTGCGTTACGAACCCGGCAAACCGAGTTCAATTCACGCTCACGGTCAACACCAGTGACAACTATCTTCAAAAGTGCTGGGACTCCCCTAGGTCTATTCAGCCTCAAATGAGTACCTGGTGCGGTGTGTAAACATCGCCACTAGTGGAGACAAAGGCGGCCGGGCGTATTGCTGGCCATCCACCCACTCGTGTACCGTTCCGGCCTTCATAGGTGCTCGCTAACAGCACTTGCCCCTACAGTCTGTTCAGGCTTGTGGAGCATCTGTCAGTCAACCCAAAACATCTGTCCCGTCACCTCCTGCCAACATCGAACTATCCACACTTCACGTGACGGCCTCAAAGTGCACCTAGCCTGGCACAAGCGCAGTGGTGAAATCACCGGCGCGATTGTTGTTGACGTCTTGTTGTGTGTCTGTTCTCAATGCCATTGTGTGTTCGTCTATGTACAGCACAACGCCGTGTGTGTGTCTGTTCTCGATGTTGATCTGTGTTTCATTTATTCACTGCCCTCTGTTATTAATACACCGTGCCGGTCGTGTGGGGCTATTTTGACCATACTTCACCACGCCGGTAAATGTGTGGATGGGTGACGGTGGGGGGGAAGGGAGGCTCACAACCAGTTGAGATATCACTCTACGGTGACGATAGCCGTGGCTAACCACTGCGCCACCGCTCCTCCATCCTGCTGTGCGTCTATGCACGAGGACTCGTTTTCCTGTACATCCCACGGCTGCTCTTGACGTGCTGTGTGCGTGTGTCGGTGCACAGTACGTATTACCTCCGTACGGTGCGAACGAAGTTCAACATGCATTGCACATTCGGAATGCACCGAGTAAATCATCGGCCTCTCCTGCGAAAACCAGCCAGGACCCTCCTGGGTGAACACGCGTAATAGCAATGACAATCATCTCGTTCCTGCACGCGCCTGTACACAAAGCGCTTAGGTTTAATTTCACCTGTTTCACCTGTGCCGTTGATGCGCGCAGCGCTACGAAACCGGCGACCCCGAGTTCGATCCCCGCTCGCGAACCAAACACCGGTGACGATTATCTGAATTGGTCGTGGGCCTCCACTAGGTCGACTCAGCCTCTAAATGAGTACCTGGTGCGGTGTGTAAAGATCGCCACTGGGGGAGACAAAGGCGGTCGGGCGTGGTTGCTGGCCACCCACCCCCTTCGCGTGCCGTGCCGGCCTTCATAGGTGCTCGCTAATAGCACTTGCCCCAAAAGTCTGTTGAGGATATACGGGGGGGGGGATCGTTGTGTGTGTTTTTTTTATAAACACAGGCATGACGTGTACACACCTGTGCACGTCTTAGCTGTGGAAACCTGTGATCGATGTCTTATCCGGAGGCATCTGGTACATATTTATATTACCTGTACACACCTGTCATTACGTTTTACGGAGATACCTGTCCATATGTGTCTGAGCACACCTGTGCTGAATGTGTTTGTGTATGGACACATCTATATACACGCCTTGCCTGTACACGAACCTCTCTTTCATGCCTTGCATCTGAAACCACTCCTGCCACCTTTGTGCACACGTGTAATCAATACTTTCTGTCTGGACACACCCGTACACACGTTGTACCTGTACACAACTGTCCTCAACGTGTAGTATCTAGATACACGTGTCCACGTCTTCTCTGCCACACCTGTACTCAATGTCCATTGTTTCCCCCACCTCCGCACCTCCGATTAGCGTGGTTGGCTGCGTACGGTGCGAAAGAAGTTCAACATACGTACATGGTGTGTGTGTGCGTGTGCGTGCACCAGTGGCGGGATAGTCCAGACCACACGCCGGTCCGTCCAGTGGGTTCAAGTATCACCTGCTGTGCTTGTGAGGATGTCCACCAGAACCGTGTACACGCCTGCGCACGTGTGCGGGGGTGGGTGGGGTTGGTGTCAATTCACAGTGCCAGCTTTAGTGGTGAGGAACGTCACATTTTAACAGCGCCATTGGGACCGTGACCGTGCGCTATCCTGCCGCGAGGTGTGAGCTCACCACACCTGTGCGCCTCCCAATGTTCTCCCCAAGTGGCGTGTGTTGTATGGCTTTGTATGGGGAGCGGTAGCGTCGTGGTTAGCGCGCTTGCGCCATAAATACGACGACCCGAGTTCGTATTCCCAGTCTGCGAACAATATCAGTGGTGAATTTCTGAACCGGTCCGAGGCCTCCCCCCCCCTCTAGGTCGACTCAGCCTTAAATAACTGCATGATGCGGTGTGTGTGAAACATCATTACTGGGGAAACAAAGGCGGCTGGGCGTAGTTTCTGCCACACGAACCCCCTCGTGTGTCGTTCCGGCTTTAATAGGTGCTCGCTAACAGCACTTGCCCCAACATGGACGGGGGGGGGGATCTTTCTATTTTGTGTATGAAGACTCATTCCACATCGCGTCTTACGTGTGCTTAGTGATTGTGGCGAGTGTGTGGAATGCATGGTGCTCTCGACCTGAGTGTTGGAACACATGGCGTGGTGAGCGAGCGAGTTGTGCGTCTAGATACGTGTTGTGATGATGTTGCGGTATTTGCGCGCTGGAGTGATTATGGCTCGGATCGGTGGTGGTTTGGTTTAAACGCACGCTCTGTGTGAGGTCTATGGGCCTCGGTATGTAGAACCTCTTTCGCACCGTACGTAGCCAAACGTGCTAATCGGAGGTGCGGAGGTAGGACAACAAACTAAACACAACACGCTGCTTTAAAGAAATACGTTGTCAATCTGGATTTAAAAATGAATGGTTCCAGTGGCTTCCTAATATCGGAAGGAATACTATTTCAGACGGCCTTTGTACAATTAACTATAGAGCTGTTATATTTCAGGGGTGTTCGTGCGGGTGGGTGGGCGCGCAAAGAGGCGGTGAGTGGTTACTGTGAGCTGAGTAGCTAGCCACTCATGGTGTTGGAGAGTGCCCAAGGACACGTGGTGCGGGTGAACCCATGCGTGAACGCACGTGGTGGACAGTGCGCGGTGGTAAACACGTGGTGTGATCAGTGTGTACAGTGTACAATTTGCATAACACGTGGTATGGTGAATGCGTTTAACACAGTGGTGTGGTTTGTTTACACACGTGGAGTTGTGTGGCGTGTTTATACATGTGGTGAACGTGTTTACACACGTGGTGTGGTGAGTGTGTGTTTACACACGTGGTGTGGTGAGAGTGTGTTTTACACACGTGGTGTGGTGAGTGTGTTTACACACGTGTTGTGGTGAGTGTGTTTACACGTTTAAGTTCGGGTTTATTTGTTTAGCCAGGCGAGAACTCAAGAGTAGTGTAACAGAATAAGTCTCACTTGCTCAAATAAAAGTCGGAGCAAAACATCTGTGAAACATAAATCAATGTTAAATCATACATTCTCAGTAACGGAAAGTCGGCTCGGGCAGATTATTTTTAGACTGATCAGAGCACAATTTAACATTACGTTACAGACAGTCGAATATAGGATGGCTGTTGTACTAATATGTAACAAACAAGGATATATGCAGTAAAAATACAAGTTTCGAAGAATCGACAGCTCAGCATCAAACTCTGGTGTAGATGGAAGAGGAGCCCAATGGCATTTTAAAACAGTTCAGGGCCCTACCAGAGTAGCATGCCCAGTGGGGTCTCCACCGACTCTGGGTCTCTGTGAGAGTAAATCTGTGGGGCTCTCTGTGTGTCTATGGATGTACTGTGTGCGCCTACGGGTCTCTGTGTGACCCTGTGAGTGTGTGAGTCTGTTGTATTCTGTGTGAGTTATAGGGTCTGTGCGAGTCTCAGGGAAGCGATGGCATTTCACGTGTTTGGGGCTTTGACATAGAATGAGTGAGTACCACGTGAGTTTTGTGTCCTTGGTACAATTAACTTTAGTGCTGTTGGACATCTAATATTTCAGGGTTTTTTGTAATATATAATTTGTAAAGGTAACGGACTGAGTTATGTGTGTATCCATTTAATTAAATCGAAACTTTTTTTTATTTTACCAGATAAGGCCCACTGAGCTACGGTATATAGATTGGTTTATATTGCTGTTTTTCAGAAGCGGCCTGGCCACAAATGATAGCTCAACGAAGTGGCTTATTGTGGAAATTTATCGGAGCCGAAAACTCTAAACGCATGTTTCTAAATGTGGAGGGAAAATAACCGGAGGACCCGGAGAAAAATGCACGCGACCACGGCGAGAGAGACACCGCAAACTCCTAATATAGAGCAGGCGTCAGGGTCGGGATCGAACCCGCAACCTCCTGTATACCAGGCGAGGTAGTAAACATCTCTCCGCCGTGACGCCCCATTGAAAAGGAACTTGGCCCAGTGACTCCCAGTGACTCCCTCCGAGTTCGATGAGGTGATAACCGGTCTAGGATCAAAGGCCACAGTGATGATTGGAGTGGTTAGTTTGTAGGATTAAGTCGGAAATAAATAATTTAGCAAATCTAAAGCGGTTGTC